ATTAACTAATTATTAGTGTGGACGATCCCGAGCATCTTCCACAAGCACGGTTTTCATGGTAGATTTTATAATAATACATTGAAATCTATCATTTTTTTTTTAATTTCAAATTTGCAACCTGGAAATTTTTTTTATTTTTTGGCCTTAGTTGCAAAATTAAATATACGTCGCACGCGAGTGATATAGTTATATCTACAAAATTCGGAAAGCTTATGAAAAGAGCTTTAAGTTTAAAAAAATCGTCAAAATTCGTTGAAAAACAACGGAGTCAAATATATTATTTTCGAGCGAATTTCGTTTTTTTAACGGTAGGACTATGAATATTATCACCATTTTCTTCGGACTCGCAAAAGTCATAAATAAAGTTCTTCTGTTTATAACTTTTGATCTAATCAATATTTTTTGACGCTCGATTATTTTTCATTTAATCTAAAAGAAATTAATGTATATAAAATATAAATTCAACAGATAGGTACGTTTTTGTAAAACATGTACACATGTCCTTATCAATCACATACCATTTAAAATATTTTTTTGTGTATAAAATACCGATAACTAAAAATCTTGAAGGCCTGTGAGACATTAATTGTCTTTACTAAAAGCATAATTTTGTGCAACAATTCTCTCAAACCGATCGATGTCACGCAATTTGCACATAATTACGCAATTTTCTGTAATTTTCTCCTAGTATCCCCCACAAAAAATCTCTGACTTTGCTAAACGGATCATAATACACACACGGTCCCAAGCCAAGACCGAACCCCTTTGTTTTTGGACCAAAAGAGTCCAAAACAAAACAATAACGTTAGACCCGTCACACAGTTTAGCCTTCCAGGAATATTTTTCGTTCGTTTTTTGTTAACTTTTCGTTTTGTATAGGTGTGTTAAGATCTGACTCGGTTAGCTGCGGGCGATCCATCGAGATCGTACAAAAGGTCCGAAGATAGGCCGTTGCTGTGCCGAAAACGGTTAAAGATCGCTCGCCAGGGCCTTTCAACGTTTGCTGCCGAGGCTCCGTACGAGACCAGGCAGCGACATGCCTCGAATCGATAAAAAAAAAAGAGACAAACAATTAATTTGTACGTATTTCTGAAAGAAAAGCTGCAAGAAACCGAGAGAGTTGACAGACGATGGAAAAGAACCTACCCAGAAATAATCCCAAGAAACGCACTGAAATTAATAAAATAATATTTGTGTTTTCGTATTTTTTATCGATGTTTTGTATTGTAATTATTTATTAGTTATTAGTTATTTAGCAAAGTTTACATTGCATAGTTCGTGATATTTGTCATTACACTAAAATAAAAATTATAGCGCGTATGATTTTAGATTCAATGCTTCTTTGTAAATAATGTAAATTATATAAGGTGACCTATATAAATGAACTGGCGCAGGGTAAATTGCGTACAGAAAACCCCGAAATATATTGGTTTATTACAAGTTATTTCGCTTAGCAGTTAGAGTTAATATTAACAAAAAAAAATAGTTTTTTCCAAATAACTCCTTGTTAGATTTAAATTAAATTTGCTCTTATTATATCTTAAAACTGTGGTGTCATTTCAAGTTGTTTCTCTTGTATTTTTTTAATATTCCGAATTGTTTATTTTATTCATTTATTTTATTAATCATCCCCAACGTATATTTAATAAAAATCTAAATTAATTGCCCTAAAAAATTTGTGTAATATGTAAAGAGAAATTAAATAATGCTTTCTATAATACAGTAGCTTTTAGTCACGAAAATTATTTCAAATAATAACCACTTTTAATAACATTTAATTCACTTTAAATAGAAAAGGTACTTTGGTACTGAGAGACATGATAATATTATTTTTTTAAGTACATTTCGTATGCATTGGTGTAAATTATGTTATATGTATTAGTTTAGTACTATATGTAGCTATAAATAATTTGTATTTCTTTATTTCGTTCGATAACATCGAAATTTAAATCTAAGTGATTAGATCAAAGAAATATTCGATGTATTTTTTACAAGGGGTAGATTTTAGTTGATCTGAAATTAATAATAATTCTGATAAATATATTTTAACTAATATGTGATTGTTGGAATAATTTTATAAACATATGTATTTACTATCCAATATTATTCGAATGATATTTTAATAATTTTAGAGGCGAGAAGCCAATTTTGAGAAAAAAATAAGCTTCTAAATATCTGTAGGTGTATAAGTCATTAACATTATAAGAAAAAATAACAATGAAAATTCAAATATATTTTTTAAATCTCTAAAAGGCACATATTTAGAAATAATAACTTTCTCAAAATTTCTACTCTCCTTACTTTTTTTAGGACTAATTTTTGAAGTTTAATAATAATAACTTATTGTTTTACATATCTTGATCTACCAAAATTTTCTGTGCACTTATTAAGAATTTATAAAATTACTGAAATAAATGAAGTTGTCAAAAACTGTTATCATTTAAAATTTTTCTAAATTTAAATATTAATAAATCTTCCTAGAAATTAGTATGGGATCATTTCTAAATGCGTAGATGAAAAAATCGCAACAATATTTGTAGTGTTGAACAAATTAAAATTTAAAAAAATAGAAATACTTAAATTAATTAAAAAATATACCCGTGCTTCATTTGTTTTTTATTTGTGATGTCAACGGCCTGTATAACTATAGATCAGGATTATACAGGGTGTATAGTACCATTAATAATTCAAAAAATAAATAAAAGCATATCTATACTGAGAAAATATTAAATTTTCCTGTTTCACAAATTTCAGAGTAGGTAGTGATAATGCCAATATGATAATAATGAATTATTGAAATTTCCGTGTGAGTATTTCCCATTTGCATTAATGCAAATGCATGAAGAATTAGTAATGCGTGATAACATTTTTTAAATACATGTCGTTTACCGAACATTAAAAATAATAAGTAATTTAAAAATTTAAATAAAAATATATTACACTTTAAATAAAAGGGAAACATTTTTACAAATCTAAAATGTGGTCAAAATAGCAGTCAATTAGAAAAGTAGGTAACTGTTATGTATCTTTCGAATGAGAAAAAGGAAACATCATCAAAATTATATTAAACTAAAACTAAAACATTAAAAAAATATTTTTAAATTCATGGAATTGATATTTAAAATCTTAAGTTTGTTACATAGTTAACTTTTAAGCAAATATAATCATTGTAAGTATAAATTCAGGCATTTTGTGAGATGTAGTTTTATGAAATGGATAGTGATTTTTCCTTAAAAAAATAAACTTAGTTTTAGCCGTGTCTACTTATGTCATAAGTGATAAATGGCACTTATAGGTTTTAAATAGATTACGAAATTTGCATATTGAGGCTGATATACAGATTTTTTGCACCACATCCTTTTCCACCGATAATTGTAACTTTTTCTGAATATTTTATTTTATCAAAATACGGAAATTACAATAACTACCTCTTGATGATGAAATTAACATTTTTATCCCATGTAAGTGGATAATCACTTTCATATTAAATAATTATTAATTTTTCTACATTCCAAAGATATTGTTATGAACAACAATTTTGTTCTTGCATTCTTCAGTTATATTTCAGATGTTAACAATCGAATTTATTACTTACAATGTGTGATATTTCAGTGAAAATTAAATTGACTAATTTAGAATATAGGTTGAATTTTATTTTTCAAATCCAATCTCCGAAAAGTTTCAATTCTGTTGACATAAAATGCTATTATATTTAGCAACCAATTAAGATATCTACATGTTTCTGAAAAACATTTGAAACAATTTGAAATTTAATATTGAAATATGATTTGATCGTTATTATGTTAATAGTGAGTGACTAGAATAAACTTTACTGTTTCATTTATGCTACTTTCGAAACACTGAAGTATTTAATTTAATTTATATAAATATTTTATGTGGGGACAAATCTAAATTATTACTACTAAAACTGTATATTAGTACGTGTAATAGTTTCCTCCGCAATTTTATGTGAAGATAAAAGTATGTACACTATCTGAAGCATTTACAGCATCATATTTAGAGTTACCCTGCTAACCGAACTTTATTTCTATTTCAAAAATTGGATTACGTACTTTATTTACTTCAAAGAGTTTGAAATAAAAATTTCATAACCGTATAAAATCTGTAGCATATAAGGAACGCATAAACAAGGTTTCAGTAAATTTTGTGTGTACATATTTTAATACGACTTTAAATATTAGATCAATTTTTGTTCAATACAATGTTCTTTAAAAATCACCTGGATTTTTAAATTGTTGATTTACTAGTGATTGATGTTGTTTTATTCTAAAAACTTACACAATTTTAAAATTTAGGGGCTTATTCTAATCTTTTATCTGCTTTTATAGATGATTTATGATATATTGTGCAAAATCTTAAATGTAATAAATTTTTAATTGACCTATTTTTCGCTAACGTTCGTAGTTTAATATCAATATTTGTCCATCCATAAGAAATTGGTGCTATTTGGTGTTTTCATTATTTTATTACAAATTTTGTAAAAATTGTATATCTAATAAATATAAGTGCTGCAAACTATTTTCAGACTAATGTAATTTTTAATAAAATATTTTTACAGTATATTTGTTTAACTAGTCTAATAGTCTACGTAATACATAATATAAAATCTTTGAATTTTCTTTATTAACTTTGAGTAAATTTGCGGACAGTATTTGTTTTTAACTTTAATTCTAAAAATAATAATTAATTTCTATATTAATCAAATAATGAGTAACTGTTTTTAATTTATTATTCGCGATTTTTGTTTTAGTAAGTGTGAATGTGAAAACACTTGGTTAATATTGTGTTTAAGACTATTTGTATCTATTATGGACATGAGTGGCTGTCGTAGCGAAATATTGAGGTCATAGTCACTAATTAATTTTGTCTTAACTGTGGACAGATCGTAATTATTGCCAATGAAACAACAAACTAATTTATAAACAGTCTTACTTTATTTTTTATTTTTGGACATTCATAAAAATACATTATACACAAAGATATTCTCTTCTATAATAATATATAACAATATTTATACAAACATTTACAGAATTAAAAAAAATAAATTTAGGTGTCTCCCCTGTGACAAAAGGAGTATCGTAAGTTTGTAATTTTATAACCATCGAAATCACTATCGAAATCGACTAGCGATGGAACAATTTTACTCTTTTATTTCGTGAAATAACTACCTAACACAAGACAGGTTTTCGAGTCTGTATAACTGAAAATTATTCCTACATATTTCAATTTCGTTGATTAACACAGCACTTTAACATTTTTATGGGCAATAGACGTCAAACATCACGCCAATGAAATATGATTTACTATATTCCTGGACTTTTAAGCAATCGTTACTTAAGCAACGAAACATATAGTTCCATCAAACCAGAATTTCTCAATAACCAAACGAACGACTATAATTTTACAAAAGATTGCACTAAGTATTAGTAAACCTAACATTTCGAACTACAAGTTTGATGGAAGCGTTTGTTCCGTCCCTCTTAACATAAAACAAGGATTTCGATAATGTTTATAAAATTATGCTATTGTACGTGGAAAAAATACGCACCGAGAGTACCCATTTTTTCCTGGCACAGTTTTTAGCGTCCTTCTAAATGTTTGGTACATAACAAAGACGATTTCAATAAAAATTTAACATGATTAAAAAAAATCTAACACAATAAAGTAAGTACGAAAGACCAATGTCGTGATAGCGATGTCAGTAAGGTAATTTTTTAGATTTGGATCGGTCGCGGTCGTGAGTCCTTTTTGGGCCTATCTGGCCAAATAGCGTTTTCGTGCCGGCCGAATCTGATGGCTCGGTATTTACACGGTGGCCGCGTACAGGTGCGGGTCAGGTTTGTTTGAACAATAATTAATATGGGAGCAGATGGCTCGCAGCGCGTCCCTACCCTGAAAGTAATAGATAGAAGTAAAAAAGGACTCACCCGCTTCCGATAGAATCCGGCGAAGAGTTCCTATTACACTGACTAGAAAAGATCGTGGGTGGGGTAGATGAAATAAGACGGGATGGGTACTTAACAGAATCGATTTAATTTTCAAGTCACACCGTACAACGTTATATAATTAATATAAGTGATAAATATACACATTAGTTGGAGATTTACCAAAGTAAGAGTACGGATCATCCAAAAATAAAAAGTCAAGAGTTTAACTGCACGACACTTCAACCAAAAAAAAAAATAAAAAGAAGAATTAACAACGTAAGAACAACTTTAATATATTTTTTAAATATATACGACATTCTATACATTATAAACTTACAGTGTAAATTGTTTTATCGTCAACCGTCCCGGTGTATAATTAAGTATAAATCACGACATTTCCGCTGCTGCTGCAGCAGTCAGAATCTTATTTACAACGTTAAGATTAGCAGCATTGGCCTAATTCATCATATTTTACAGAGGCGTTATCACTCTTCTTATATACAGATAATGTACAAAGTTTCCGAGACCACGGTCCCTAGTCTACAAAGGTACTCACTCGCACTGCACGGGCATTCAACAATTCTGTACATTGTGCAAAGTCTTTTTAGAGCGGTTACAGTCCACTTGGACCTCCACAACGACCTGGAGGCGAGACACGACAATCCATGTTGGCTTTGAGGTAGCGTGAAACGAGAGTCTTTGAAGCCGTCGGAAGCCGGCGGCCGGCGCTAGCGGCCCGGCCCGTCGCCTCCCTCCTGGAGGCGATTCACTAGCCGTTGTCGCTGTTGTGCAGCAAGGAGGCCCAGTGGGCTGGATGCTAGTGGGCCGTCAGCTGGTGGCCCATACTCTGGGGCGACAGCATGGGCGGACTGTGGGAGTGCGAGTGCTGACCCATGGGTGAGCCGTGCATGTCGGGGTGGTGGCCGTAGTTGGGGTGCATGTGGCTTCCCGGCGGCAGGCCTTCCATCATCTCGCTGCCGAGCGTGTTCGGCGGCGTCATCCGCTTCTCCTTCTGTCTCCTGTTGCAGAACCACACCCGGACTACTTCCTTTTCCAACTGCAAACTGTCCGCTAACGAGGTGATCTCCTGGGCCGACGGTTTGGGCTGCTTGTGAAAGTGCTGCTCCAGAGCGCCCTTCACAGATACCTCTATGCTGGTGCGTTTTTTTCTCTTCCGCCCTTGCGCCGCGATCTTGTCGATGGACGTGGGGGAGCCCGTCGTCGAGTCGGCCTCTTCCAGCCATTTTTGCAACAGGGGCTTTAACTTGCACATGTTTTTGAAACTGAGTTGCAGGGCTTCGAACCTGCATATTGTCGTCTGGGAGAAGACGTTGCCGTACAGCGTTCCTAAGGCCAGCCCTACGTCCGCCTGTGTGAATCCCAACTTTATTCGTCGTTGTTTGAATTGTTTGGCGAAGGCTTCCAAATCGTCACTTGTAGGTGTGTCGTCTTCTCCACCGCTCACGTCTCTGTCCGAGTGCTGAGGGTGGTGAGGACTCTGCATGTCTCTATGCAGAGGGTGGTGTAGCTGAGGCGCCGCTTGGTGATGGGCCAACATACCGTTCATAGCTGCATGATATTGTTGCAGCGGCGATCCGGCACCACCCGGATTATAGTGTGCCGACGATACCGGAGCGTGCCACGCATGAGGAGATCCCATACTCTGCTGTTGTTGTCTCTGGTGGTGCATCATATCAGCCTGTTGCGATAGGGGTTTGACGTCCTGATGGGGGTGGTGGTGGTGAGCGTGGTGCATACCCGCCATGGAGGCGGCCCAGGGGTCCGCGCCCGGCTGTAGACTCACCCAGGGGTTCCCCGCGGACAAAGAGACGGCGGCGTGACTGCCCGGAGACGGCGAACTCGCCATATGGTGGTGGTGATTGTGGTGGTGTTGGGGCAGGTACTTCATTTCGCTCGCATCGGCCGCAGACCTCGGAGAGGCACTAGAATGGTATCCTCCGACGATATTCATCCCGACTACGTTCCCGTCCAGATCCGTGGTGACCGCACTACTCGCCGGAAGGTACGTGGTGGCCGCCATGCCCTGCAAGGGCCGCCCGTCCACACTGTCCTCGTGCTCGTACACTTTGCACACCTTTTCCCACACTTTGACTATATAAAATCACTTCCTCGCAAGCACTGTCAACGGCGGCCTTGACTAGTCTCTCGCAACGGGCGGATCGCCGCGGGATGACATGTATCACAAATAAAAATAACTGTGCTAGTGGTCAACTCTCATGCGTTATGCATATCAGTCTGCACACACGGCGACTCTGTTTGTACTACTGACTGAGTGTATGGTGCCGGAGACTCGGGGTCTCACCGACCGCCGTCTCCCACCGCTGGGGCCCCCTCTTTCTCCAGAAGTGGTGCGCGCGCCATTGGCAGCCTCTAACTCGTCGTCGGAGCGTGACGTCACGACCACGGGCGCAGCCACTGGCCGCGCGCCTCTGGAAAACGCCCGTGCCGGCGCCCCACCACGGCGGGGAAGTGTTTACACTCGGCAGGACACGGTAGCTAGGCAACAGAGCGTGCAGGACTCACATACGTCGGCGGACGCGAGCTCCGTCGGATTTCAGCGCCTGAAACTCTCCTGCAGGACCAAACCTCATTTCCAATCAATTTCACACCACAAAACATACTACTAAAACCATATTTATCGACAAGCCTGCCTAATCTGTATATGTAAGAGATATATTAGGGATTACTTCAAGAACACGTACTTCGTGTACTTGCCTCTGTTCCCAGTAAATTATTCTAAAGGATAGTTCGTGAACTTAACACTAATAATACTTTGTACGGAGTAATAAATACTTATACGAGGAAAATGCGTGTTGTTTAAGACCGGTAAGCGTACAATTAAAGAAAAAACAGCATTCACGTTTTAATGGTGGTTATTAAGAAACGATTCAACAGTTCCTATCGAAACTAATAACATATAAAAAATAATTACTGTACTTACGCTCGTCGGCAATCATTAATATAATTCGATAAGTTAATTGAAAGCAATACAGCATTAATAGCATACATTATAATACATGATTATGATTATGCATATTATCGGACGTTATTATCTTTATTAAGTGTTACAAAACCAATCAGTTTTACTCTCGATACGTACGCGTTACTTAAATTAATACAAATATATTAATTCGAAAAGCTACCGGGTAATGGTTTCGGAATTAGCATAATCAAACAGGTTCCCTAATAATAAAACACCGGCAGAGAAACCGCATAACGGATTCGGTTTTTGCGTAGAAATATTTCGAGTTCCCGTCCGATTGAATATATTTTTGGGGGACCGGGAATCAATAAGGCTGCGGGGCAGGTGTCTATGCTGAAAAAACTAATTTCAATCCGGAGTCTCACCTGTTGCTGCACACTATGTCGGCGAACAAATCATAGCTCGGCTTGTGCCCAGGCGAAATTAACATGGAATTTGCAATACAATGGGGCATTACCACTTGCACCTTATACATATGTATGCCGTCCGAAACGTTGGTTATGGGGTAAGTTATGTCGGGCGCTTTTCGATTCCGTGGGTTAGGTCAGTTGGCCCTCGCTAGGGCCTGAGATTGGGGACTTTTTGCTCTCCGTATATTTTTAACAAAGAAAATTTATTTGCACTGTATGCATGTCATAACTCTGCCGAACAGTTAGAGTATTAAGAATAAAATCTAAAATAAATAAGTACTTATATTTATTTATAACTTGCGAATAAAAAAAAAGAACGATTAAATATGAAAATAGCTACAGAAACAGTTAAATATGTAAAATGTAGATGTTATTATTTGTAAATATTTATCTAAAGGATTATTTACACATTTTTTATTACCTTTTTACTATAAACCTACCGCAGAAGCATCTTTATTTATTTAGGTTTAATAATTCTACTTTGTTGGCTTTAAAAAATGTTTCTTATAATTAACCTTTAATGAAGACATAACAGCAAAACTGCCTCATTTTTAACAATTTAAAGGAGAGTACATTTTTATCATTCATTCCAGAAAACGTGCACTATTTTTTTTATCTTTCCGACAATATTTTAGTTATAGAACAAGATTACGTGTGTAGCATATTGTTTAATGCACAGTTAATTGCAATACCGATTTCCTTGCATTTCAATATGCAACAGTAGCTATACGATCTATGAGTAATTTCATAGGCAGACATATCCATTTATATTCGTATTAACATAACAAAATTGTAACTTCTTGGAACAGTTTTAAAAATATCTATTTAAATAAATAAAACATAGAACCATCTACTTATACTATCGTTTATATTATAGTATTGTTTGATTTGTGTGACAAGTTGACCACAGATAAACAAACGCTTAGTTTTATAGAAGTAGATATAACAAATTAATCGCTTCATTAGAATATCTGAATAAAGAAATTGTGGTTTTGCGAATGTTCAAATACTAATATTTATTGCCTACAAAAAAAAAATAATTGTAGGTATATTTTAAAATGTAGATGTTGTTTAAATGGTTTATATTTGATTCATTAAGTGACAATTCAAGTGTGGACAAATGACTGGATTAGTTGGCTTCATCTGGCTAGCTCTAGCTAGGTACCGTCGCTCGTGCTGAAAGTTTACGTTTCTATGCTCCTGCTGAGCGATACTTCCTGCGCCATCTAGCTTTCAACCGTTGCACCACTGTGGTCTTACAGAGGTAGATTATTACACCAAACGAGGAAACTAAATAGGTAAGGTATATATATTTTTGACAACTAGTAAAAGTATTATTGTTTTTATTTAATCAGGTGCCACAATTTTTATTTTCAAAAGTTCTATCGACAAATCTTTCTGGATATTAATTATCTGTTAATATATTTTTTCCTAAACCTTTTTCATTTTGAAGGTTTGATCTTTCGAAGAAAATTAATTTTGCACCATTATAAAATATTTTGCTACACTTTTCTTTATGTTTACGTGATGATTAGAATTCAAGCCTTACTCATCACTATTTTTGAACATTTAAGAAACTTGATGCAGTATTATTTTCTGTTTTTATTTAATTAACTTATTTACAAATGTTCTAGTACATAAAACGTTAAACATTATCAAAAATAAACTACAAAGCAATTTGAATTTAAAAACAAATCAAATCACCGAAAACTCTAATGGATTTGTATGGAAACATCACTAGAAACTATAATGGAAATATTTTATGTATAAAAACAGCATATTTTCAATTAAAAATGATTTCTATTTACAAGATTTTGCGGTGGCTATCTTCAATAATAATAATTTAAACAAAATAACTATAATTTGGTTGTTGATGAAAGTTTCGCAATTTGGCCTTACGATTAAGATTATTTCTTGGACTATATAAATGTTAACGAACAATCGTCTACATTGACTTTAAAATCCTTGAAAAGGATATTATATTAGCTTTCTTAGACATTTTAATTAAAAAAATGACACAAGAAATAAGAAACGTTAATACCCTAGATCCCAACCAATTTTCAATTGAAAACATCATATAAACTTAAAGAAAGGTGTGATAAAATGTTTGTATTACTTTTGAAAGAAACAAATTTCTTCCAAGTATACAACCTTCAAAAATAGAATAGAATTATTAAAAAACCTTAATGTGACAATTAAAATAACTCTCAAAGTTAACAATAAAATATTATACATAGGTACATACACCAAAAAACTTAAAAATAATTGAACATAGACACACTATAGTTGTTTTCAAACTAATAACATGTTTTGGACTTTTTATTAAAAACTCGACGGTAAATAAGATACAATCTGTGTTAAAGCAGTCATATTATTTAATGAAATAACAGAATTTTAGGAAAAAAAAATATGTAAAAGAATCCGCGTTTATTATGCTAAACGATGAAAAAATCTGTTTCAAATTATTTCATTTAGGTAGTTGTTGAGTCTTCTCAAGGATAAGGTAACAACAAAAAATATTGTATAGGCATTTAATATATCTGGAAGGTAGATAAACTAAACAGAAATTCTGTCAAATTTGACTTAAAGTGAATTTGAGTTTTGAGAACGAAAACGTAGTTTTTCGAAACATCATGTTTTGTAGTACTTATTGGGTAATCAATAAGGAATTATCCACTCTTCATTTCATTTATAAAATCGACCTCCTGACTGTTCCTTTTAGCGCTGGGGATCTTTTATTTAAAAATAAAATTATTTTCGGTGGGGCAGATATACCAAATCAAATAGAAAGAGTAACAAAAAATGCTACAGATAAACAATTATAAATACAGATAATATCTGGTTAAAAAAATGAGTACATAGGTCGAAAAAATATAAAAAATAAAGAATTTTATCATACATAAAAATAATATAAAATATTTCGTATCTAAGTATACCTACAAATAGAGAACTAAGTAAATTAAAGTTATTGAATAAGTATGACTATTTTGGTGATTTAATATACCTCATATCAACTAATATAACATATTGATGGACAAATTCCTGTAAACCTTTAAAAGAATTACGCCAAAAGTCCAAACTTTGCGATAATTAAAATAAATAAATTTTACTGGCTTCACAGAAATCACAAATAGACTTTTAAGTCTCGCTAAAAACAAAAATTTATCAGTTTAAATTAGTAACTTACTTGTCTATATATTCTAATTTTTAGTATTTCTAGCAAAATATAAAAAAAGATTTCACAATCACAAATTGCGGTATCGTTTCCTTTAAGAAGAAAGATAAGTACATTTGGTTTAAGATTGAGGTTTCATTAAAATTTTAACCACTGTCGTAGACTGAGATAATCTTCTAAAATATATGCCAGTTCAGAATACCTTTTGTTTTTTACGAATTATTAAATCTAAATACCAATTCCATAAATAGGAATTACTGTAAATACCAAAATTATACAGATTAATCCCCCTCCCCTAATTATTTCTGTAATTTTGCATTATTGTGTATTTTTCCTGTACTTTCTTTACCGCCGACTATTTCCAGCTTGTCAGTAGTTCCAACGTTCCTTTATGTAATACATTTACGTTAAAGAAAGACAAGCCTTTCGACGGAAATGACCCAGAACCTTGTACAATGCATATCTGGAATAATTTTACATACATTATAAGGGTTCAAAATTCAAATTTGGAGGCAGTTTGAGTAAATAACAAACAGCACAGTCACAGGTCATTATAGGTGACATGTGACGATACGTAGGTACGTATTTCCTCGAATTTTTAGGACCTCGGTGGGGGAATTATATCGGCAGATATAAAGTGTAAAAAATACAGAACTGATAGTATTCTACATAGTTATAAGATACATAAATGTGTAACAAGCAATC